TAACTAACTAACTAACTAACTAACTAACTAACTAACTAACTAACTAACTAACTAACTAACTAACTAACTAACATTACATCCTGATCAGAGCTTCCCCTCCCTCCTGTTCTCCCAGTACCTCCCTTTCGCGATCCCTTCTCCAGTGCCCCCCCCTCCCTTTTCAGAGGAGAACCCTCCCATGGATATCATCCCAACTTGTCATATCAAGTTGTAGTACGACTGGGCACATCTTTTTCTCTCTTTTTTTTTAAATTTATTTTTTAATTACAGTTTATTTACTTTGTATCCCACCTGTAGCCCCCTCCCTCATCCCCTTCCAATCTCACTACCCCTCCCTCATCTCCTCCCATGCCCTTCCCCAAGTCCACTGATGGGGGATTAATCCTTCCCTTCCATCTAACCGTAGCCTATCAGGTCTCATCAGGACTGGCTGCATTGTCTTCCTCTGTGGCCTGGTAAGGCTCAGCTTCCCCTCAGAGGGAAGTGATCAAAGAGCCAGCTACTGAGTTCATGTCAGAGACAATCCCTGTTCCCATTACTAGGGAACCCACTTGGAGACTGAGCTGCCGTGGGCGACATCTGTGCAGGGGTTCTAGGTTATCTCCATGCCTGGTCCTGGGTTGGAATATCAGTCTCAGAAAAGACCCCTGTGCCCTGATTATTTGGTTCTGTTGCTCTCCTTGTGTCTCTTTTTCTATTGAGGCAAGACAAGGCCTTCCAGTTAGGGGAAAAGGATCCAAAGGCAGACAACAGAGTTGGAGACAGCCTTTGCTCCTGCTATTGGAGGTCCCATATGAGGACCAAGCTGTGTGTCTGTGACATATGTGTAGGGGCCCTTGGGTTCGTCTCATACATGCTCTGTGGTTGGTGGTTCAGTTTCTGTGAGCCCCTATGGGCCCAGGTTAATTGATTTGTAGGTTTTTTTTCATGGTATCCTTGATCTCTCTGGCTCTTTCAATCCTTCCTCCCCTTCTTCCACAAGATTCACCTAATGTTTACCTGTGGGTCTCTGCATCTGTTTTCATCAGCTGCTGGGTGAAAGTCACTCGGATGACACTTATGCTATCCTCCTGTCTGCAAGTACAGAAGAATATTATTAATAGCATCAGAGACCTCTCTCTAATGACATTTATTTTTCTTATCTGAGAAAATCTCTGTCTTACTGGTTAAATACAATAAACCAAGTTAAAAGATTTTAATGTCAGAACTTTTACAGTCATAGTTGAATTGATTGCTAATGTTGAATCTGGGATTTGCTATCTTGGGTGCTCGCAGGAAAAATAGATTTATTATTCTTTTTTTCTACTTTTAATAATTCTTTAGTATGAGACCGATGACATTTTTCTTGTAGTTTTATTAATGTGTAACTGTATATCTAAAGTGTACATTATGAAATGATTACCAGGATCAAGGTAACTAATATGCTTATTACCTCATATAGTTAAATTATTTGTCTGTAGTTAGAAAAAAAAAAACATAAGTCCTTCAGCAAAGCTGAAGTTTATAAAATATTATTGTCAATTGTAGTAACCATGTAGTCATCAGGTCTCCAGAGTTTATTCACCTTTAACTGAAAATATATGCCCCTTGATTTTTTTTCCCCCATTTTCTTCATTCTTGGTAAACCAGCTTTGTTCCTTGTTTCTGTTAATTTGATTTTTATAGATTCCATAAGTGTCTGTCTGCCTTTCTCTGTTTGGCTTATTTCACTTAGCATAGTATTTTCCAGTCCTGCATGTTGCCACAAATGTTAGGATATTAGTGTTTTTAAGGCTGAGTAAAATTCTGTTATTATGTATACACTGCATTTTCTTTTCCATCCTCTGTATATGGGAGTGGGTGAAGAATGCTTGTGTGTTTATAAGTGCATATGCATGTGTATGAACTCGGGGCCTGACGTCAACCTCTGGTATGGCTCCTTAGGAGCTACTTCCTTATTTTTTGAGCAAGCTCTGTAACTGAGACCAGCAGTACAGCAAGCTGTGACCCACATGTCCCTGCTTTCCCAGTGCTAAATTGGAAAGGCACACCTCCATATCCAGCTTCTTACGCAAGTTTCAGGATCAGGCTTAGGTCGTAGTGCTGTGTGGCAAGCACTTGCTGACTGAGCCATGTATCTCGTTAGCCACCTGATGAGCATTTTATTGTTTTTATCTCTTAGGTGTTATGTGTCAGTGGACTGAGGAGAGTAAATGTTTCTTGAGATAGTGATTTAATTTTCTTGGATATATATTCAGAACTGAAATTGTCAGATCATATGGTTATTCATTTTTAATTTTTTGAGAAACATCTCTTGTTTTCACAATTGCTATAACTATTTATAGCATAAAAAGGCTCTCTTTTCTCCACATTTTTGTCATTATTTCTTTCTTACCTTTCTATATATCTTCCCAACAGGTGTGAGATAATATTTCATGGTTTTGATTGAATTTTCTGTATGAATATTGAATTTCAACACCTTTTAATGTATATGTTTGTATCTGTTTCATGTGTAATTTTTTTGAAAAGCATATTTTCATTAAATATTTTTTCTTTTTGATGCTACTATAAATATATTTATTTTGTGGTGTTGGCATTAGATCCCAGAACCTCACATACTCTATGAAAACACTCTTATCATTAAGTTATATTCTCAATCATTGTAAATGATATTTTCAAAATGTTAGATGTTAATGTATGAAAATGGTCCTAGTATGGTGGCTTTGTTTCCTGCAACTTTATCAAATTAATTTATTAGTTCTGACAAGTTTATTTTGGTGGACTCTAGGTTTTTTCTTTTTTTTTCCTTTTGTTTTTATTTCATGTGCATTGGTATTCTGCCTGCATTTATGTTTGTGTGAAGCTATCAGATCCTCTATAACTAGAGTTACAGACAGGTGTGACCTGCCATGTGGGTGCTGGGCATTGAATCTGGGTACTCTAGAAGAGTAGCCAGTGCTCTTGACTGCTGAGCCATCTCTCCAGTCCAACTGGACTCCCCTCCCCTCCCCTCCCCTCCCCTCCCCTCCCTCTCCCCTCCTCTCCCCTCCTCTTCATGGATGTGCTAAGCAAGCATTCTACCACTGAGTCATACTCCCAGCCCCTGAGTTTTTCATTTGTTTATACATTGCCTCCCTTTTTCATTGACTTGCTTGTTTTCTTTTTTTCTTTATTCTAGGTCAGGTTTTTGTTTTTTTTTGTTTTTTTAATTAAAGTGAGAAACAAAACAGATTCTTTCCTTATTGCCCACATATATCTATAGTAGAATTAATGGGCACATTTGATGCTTCATTTATTTAGGCTTTGCCTGCAAGTCCTGAATGAACACAGTACATTCCCTGCAGAAGATTGTGTGGGACCTAATCTCTACTTAAGATCATTTGTTCAGATGACAGCTAAACACATCTTGTAGTTTTGAGCTTAATTCATTAATGCCATAGTCTGCTACAATCTTTAGTTGGAGGTCATATAATCTCTGGATTCCTTTAGCTTTAGATATAGTGGGAAGCTCCGTTGTCTAGTAATAAAATGCCCTTGATTTAGCAAGATATAAATCTGATGGCATGTTACTCTCATATGAATGGGCCTCCTCTCCTTTCACCCTAGTGTCTCATGGCATTAACTGCCAAGCCCTGCTGCCCAGCTTTTGTTTTCTATTGTAAATTGAGACTAATTAAACATTTTGAATTATTTTTCATGAAATTCATAAACTTTCATTTATTTGGTATTGGTTTTTAGCATGTTATTGTAGTGTTTTAGTCGTATAATTTTAACTTTTGTGTGTGCTCCTTGGAGATTTCCATTTCTCTCTTCCCATTTGCATGTATAGTCACCCTCTCCAGTCTTACCCACCTGGTTTCATGAGAAGAATGCCATCACAAAGTGTGCACTGGGGACATGAATTTGTTCAGATCTTTTAGTCTAGGGTATGAGCTACTTTGAATTATGGAAAATGTTGAAGGTGCAAGTAATTATAAAAAGTTATCTAAGCAAGAGTCTTGCAGTGGTACAGTTTTTCTAAAAGAAACTTAATTTTTAAGACTTCTAGCCCCCACCCCATGTTTTCTAGGCAGCCTTTTTACAAGCATTTGGAACTTACATAATAAAACTAAATATTTTTACACTAATTCTGCTAAGTTACACTATTTTATACTACCACTATACAAAGTTGTCTGAACAGTTAATTGTGTTTCTCTTTGTGTTTCCATGATTTTAGTATTTGAGTTTAAAACATTGAAAAATGTAGCAAGTAGCACCTAAGATTTTATCAAAGATAATGTGGCTGTTGTGATTTTGGTTCTAGGCAGTATGAAACTGTGGTTCCACTTGAAGATTCTATTGTGACTGAGGTTACAGCAACTCTACAAGAATGGGCCAGCCTGTGGAAACAACTGTATGTGGTAAGTGGCTCAGTATAACTTAATAGAGCAGCAAAGTTCTGTTACCAAGTGAGAAGAAAGTCTGCTTTGGTGTTGATTCTTCAGTTTGAAATTTTAAAATATTTTCAGTTTCTAAATGAATGTTCTGATTATCAGTTGTAATATAATAAATGGAATTTTTTTCACCTGAGCAGAACATATTTTCATATATTAATATATATGACACCTTTACCTTGATCTGATCATTAGAATGTAAATTTCATAACCGTGAGTCTTAGCTGTCTTATAAGTTGCATGTCCATATATGCTTTTATAAACATGTGTTTACTGAATGAATAAAAAATTTTGAGAATTACTTACCTTTTATAGTTTATTACCTTAATAATGGTTTAGACCAAGAATTTGTATTAGTAGTTTCTTTCCTTAATTTAAGGAATTATCCTAGATAATGCTTTGTTAGTCTGGCAATTAATTGTTGGAATTTTATTAGAAACCTATATTAATTATTTGCCATCTCTGTGACAAGATAACTTAAATAAAAAAAAGAGAGAAAGAAGAAATATTTCAAAAAAGGAAGATTTATCATGGGTCATGATATTAGTACTTTCAGTCTATGACCCCCTTTGCTCCATTGCTTCTGGGCCTGAGCATAATAATGCATCCTGGCAGAAAGATTATAGTGGAAGAAAATGGCAGGTTGCAGGCAAAAAGAAACAGATTTAATGGTGCCAAGACCAAGATACAATATGAAAAAGCACTCCTCCATTGACTTACTTCTTCATTCAGGCCCCCTTTTCTATTCTATGAATCCATTGGTGATAAATCCATTACTTGAATCAGAGCTTCTCATAATTCTCTCACCTCTCAATGAGTGGATCCACCAGTAAGGAACTAGACTTTCAGTATCTTGGCCTTTAGGAATAACTAAATCCAATAAAGAAAAAAAAAAACTATGATAACCTTTTAAGAAACAAGAGTAGAGAATGACAAGAAGTGCAAATAATTATATACTAAAAATAAGTAACAGAATTTGATTTCTGAGCAAGATGAGCTAGACACAACCCATTTTAGGTTTGAAGTCTAGTCAAGATGGAGTAAGCACATTTGTTGTCTTTAGCACTGTTTTGGCTGTACTGATTTTCACCTATAAACTTTGTTTACAGTTACCTTTTCTTTGAATCCTTGCTAGTATTTTTGTTGTTGTTTGCTGATAATAGTATTGAACAGAGAGCCCTGGGCAGAACAAATAAACCACATATAAGAAGACTCCAGAAGATAGGGTAAAGAAGGGAATGGACTTGCTCTGGGTAGCAAAGGCATACATAGTTCATGAAGAACAACTTGATAGATTAAACAGTAAAACCTAAAAAGTTTTGCTCTGTGAATCACCTTGGCAAATGGAAAAGATGAAACTATAGACTAGAAAATATTTGCAAATCACACATCCCTAGAAAGAAATGTATTTAAAGTATATAAAGCATTCTCTAAGCTAAAAAATAATGAAATTATTCAGTTACACAATGGGCAAAAAATAAGTCTTCATTCAGAAGTGTATGTAGATAGCCAGGAATCTCATGAATATTTTTTTTGTCATTAACTGTTAGAATAATTCAAAACAAGGCTTCAGTAAAATAAGTGAAAAAAAGTGAATAAGTGAAATAAAAATACTGCTAATAATCAAGTCATGGCAGAGATGTGGCTCAGGTTCTCTTCTGTGTTGCTGATGAATATGTAAAATGATATAGTTAATTGGAAGATTTTTGTATTTCCTTGAATATCAAACATGGATTTAATAAATGACCCGGATTTCTATATTTACAAATATACAAAGTGAAAACTTCATTTGCACACATAAACTTCATTTTATGACTGTTCATAAAACCTTTTTTAAAAGCATGAAACTGGTAAAAGACTAAATGTCTTACAGTAGGAAATAAACACCTTGTCTAGCAAGGCTGATGATCATCCACAATTAGTTTGTTTTGGGAAGAAGGAGAATGATAACTGTGTGTAATTTCAAATGACCTTATAGTTTTTTGTTTGTTTGTTTTGATTTATATAATAGAAAACTAAAAGAAATCAATGAATGGTACTTTTCAGCAGTCTGATTGTTCTTAGGGGTACCATGTTAAGTAAAATTCGTAAGATTCATAGAGTGGAATATATCGTGATTCTGCTTATCCTCAAAGTGAGGAAATCCAACCTGAAGTAGGTTGATAGGAGTTGAGGTGTGACTGTTAAGGTGTTTAATACTAAGAATTTTTTTGCTAATGACCTGACTGTGGTAATAGCTATTTCAGTTATATATGATTTCTGTAAGTTAACCATATCTTAACAGTATCCATTTCCTGGTTGTGACGATGTACTGTGGCAGTACAAGGTACAATCAACAAGTGAAGTTATATTTATTGAATTATTTATTTACTAATGTATATGGTATTTAATGACAAAGTAGTTCTATCTCTTGAGACTGGTTTTTTGTATATAGAAATAAATGGACATGATGAGTTTTATTTATATAAGAAGGTTACTTGGTAATACGACATATATGATTATAATAGAAAAAACTCCTCTATCTGAGTCATCAAACCACAGTCTCCCTGTTCAGTAGTCTTTTTTTTATGTAACGATTATTTGGACTTTGATTTGTAGAAAATACATGATTATGGTTTTCTGTCAGCCAGGTGTGGTGGCACGTGCCTTTAATCCTAGCACTTGGGAGGCAGAAGTAAGAAGATCTCTGAGTTCGAGGCTGGCCTGATCTACAGAGCAAGTTCCAGGGCAGCCAGGGCTGCATAGAGGAAAAAACAACAAAAAACAAGATTGTCCAATTTTAAGTACATATTTATGTTCCAAATAATTTTTTTTTTAAACTGTGAGCTTAAGCCAGACATAGTGCTGCACGCCTTTATTCTCAGCACTCTGGGAGGCAGAGGCAGGAGGATCTCTGAGTTTACATGGTGGGTTCCAGGACAGCCAGAGCTACATGTGAGACCCTGTCTTGAAAAAACAAACAAACAAACAAACAAACAAATGCTCATTTAAAACCATACACAAAAGTTATCTTTCTCTTATAATATTGCTAGACAAGACATTTATTTCCCAGAATTACTTTTATTCTTAATCTTAAAGAGTTACCATAGTTACCAGGCTTTGAAACAATTCCCATTACCATTTCTATGCAAGATATGTTAAGGAGCTGAAGTATTTATGGCTATTGTTAAATCAGTTAAGTGAAATTTATAGTACAAAAAAATTAAAAGAACTTTATAAATATAGAGTTGTATAATGTTAATATATTTTATATGGATTGTTATGACTCACAACATTTAATTTATTGATTTGTTTGTTAGTATATATGTGTTATTTTTTAGTTAGGGTCTTGCTACCTATTCCAGGCTGTCCTGGAACTTACTAAGTAACACTACTTGACTCTGAACTTCTCATCCTCCTGCCTCAGCCTCATGAGTGCTGGGATATAGGAACAACTCTTCTGTCCCTTGTATAAAACATGGACTTTTCATGGAGACTATTTGTAAGCTAACAAAGTCCAAAGTTTATGAGGTGAAAATTTTGAAAGTCTATAAATGGGCAGTTGGGATGATGTTTAGTGGCCCTATTCCTATTTTGACACCTTGATTTTCCAACCCATGTGTTTTGACTGTGGGGCAGAATGTAGTTCCATGATCAGTTAATAACCAGTCAATTCTACAGGCATAATCTCATTGCCACAGTTGTATTCCAGGAGTGTGGGGATAAGGTATTATGCGAGTCTATGGATAGTGATACTAGAAAAATTATTACCGAGGAAGAAAATCTGTATCTAGAATATATGTCTATTCAGTAAGTTTGGATCTATACTCCCTCACCATAAAAAAAAAAAATCCAATTTAATCTGCCTCTTACCACATTCCTAAAAGAAATAATGTCATACTAAGGACTCAGCACTGGTTTTTGCTGTTGGTAGATTGAACACTCATCAATAACATTTGTCATATGACTGTCAATTAGGAGAAATCAATGTTGCTGAGATTATAGGCAGCTTCTCTCACTGTCTCCCTGGCCACCTTGCTGTGGGCTAATTGAGTAAGTATTAGGATAGCTGAGGAGAAAAATTTATTCATATTTGCAGAATGTGTCATTTTCCCTCAGCCTTGTGATAAGTATCCTATCAAGATTCTGAATATGTTCTAGTTAATGTTACCTTGCAGAGAGATCCTTACATAGTTCCTTTACCCTGTATTTACTTTACTGGTCTTCACTTGCCTTCCTTCCACTCTCCTTACTACCCAGCAAAACTTTTAAAACTTATCATGAATCAATATTTATGTGTATTTCTAGTTAATACCCACAACAAATACAGCAAATAAATGACCTAAACATATCACTCAAACATCTGTTCACCTGGAAGGTATTTCTCATTATTCTTCTGTGAGTGAGACTGTTCCATCAGTGAGCTATGGTATGCTTCAACATTCCCATATGGAGGTGATATAAACATACTGTGTAGACCTATCTGTTTACCTGTGAGACAGGCTTCAGTATTTTTCTTCCTTAGTTAACTGGATACCAGGAACATCCTGGGAAGCTATAGGCATGAATTGAGGGAGAGGAAACAGTGAAATCATGTTTTGGTATCAAGGAGTTTGAATTACTTATTTGCTCAGTATATTATATCTTCTGGACCTGTCCAAGCTTGGTCTGTTACTATTTCCATATGATGACATACTGATTATTTTTGTGGCCATCCTATTGGACTGGACATGTAGCTCAGTAGCTAATGTATCAGCTCACATATTTAGGATTCCTGTTTAGGTCTCTACAATGTTTTGGACTCTTTATCATATATGGGACTATTTTTTTTCCTGACAAAGCTTCTCTGTGTAGACCTGGTAGTTCTGGTATTCTTTATGTAGACCAGACTGGCTTCACACTCAAGAGATCCATCTATCTCTGTCTCCTGAATGCTGGAATTAAGGCTGTATGCCACTATGTCCGGTTCCAGTACTACTCTTAAGAAT